GCACATCCAGAAGAGTTTTAGCACTTTAATATCGTAACAATATGCCAATGCTACCAACCTTCACATTGTGGAACATGAAACGAATTAGTTCCTGTTCCTGATCCTTGTTCCCTCACCAGCTTCTCTCTTATCTCTTTATTGTCTTTCCTCTTTAAGATAATAAGACAAAAACACAGCTTTTCATCCAAGAGAAACCGCAAACCATAAACGCCTCTGTCCTGAACGCTTTCCCATGTCAGAAAACTTGAAGTTACAGATTTACCTCTGACTGTTACAAAGCGCTGACACGGGAGTCTCCTTCCATAATCGTTTACCTTTACAAATAAAGGTAAACTGTATATCAACAATTACACACATTTTTAAAAATGTTTATGTGGATCATCCACCATACGATTGTCTGTGTAAACCGTTGCTATATAAATGATTATTTATTAGAACAAGCGCATTAATATAAACCGGTGATTTGCAGCTGCACTACTGTCAGAGCTGCTGTTATAGAGAATTAATCAACACTTTTCTGAGCAATCAGCATTGCGATATAAAATATTTTAATTATAGGCATCCTTAAACATTTAGAAAACACGAGCTGAAATTCACAATGAAGAGGATGACACGGTCTTCGTATGTACTCTTTTTCCACATGGCTGATGACAACTTTCTCTAGTATATCTTGACTGAAAACCTTTAAAAGCATGTTAATTAAAAACAGCTGGATGGCTTTTTTAAAAATGCTGTCTGTACTATCTGTTCACACCTGGATGCACAAAGTACAGCTACTTGCAACCAAACCAAATGATGAGAAAAAGATTCGAATCATTTAGTGTATTAAAGCAGAGCCCCAACTAAATGACCTGAATCACTAAAAGAATAATTAGTTAAAATGCTGTGTACTGTAAATACTCTGATGATGTACTAAAACCACTGAAAAATAAAGCGAGTAATACTGGGTACTCGCTGCTTTCCATACAGCAGCCACCAGAGGGCGCTGCGGTTGTAATTTTACTGCTCAGCGGTAGTTCTGCATCTTTCTGTTGATGGGCTACAGTCAATGTTTTTATACCAATGACTATAGATATATAAGTGTTGCCATAAACTAGTGATTTGAAGCAGTCCAGAATTCAGCTTTAATTTTTGGTAGTGGCCACGGCCCATCAGCTGGCAACACATTGTAGCAGTGTTAGCATTATATTAGGTTTCATTTTGTATAGCTCAGTTTATAAATGTGAGGCATTTCCTCATTTGCATTCGAAATTTGGAGAAATGAGACTTACCACTTTTTCGAGAGAAAAATTGTGGCTGGTGAGGGATCGACTGTTTACAGCTGCTATAACCCAAGTGAGAATAGGAACTAACTTGCCTCAAGGATGTTCCACAACATTAAACCTGACCATCACACCCATATCTGGGCCTTCTCCAAACTTCCCCTTCCCCAAAGTTGGAAGCACACAATTGTATAGGATATCATTGTATGCTGTAGCATTACAGTTTCTCTTTACTGGAATGAAGAGGCCCAAACATGTTCCAGCATGACAATGCCCCTGTGCACAAAGAGAGGTTCATGAAGACATAGTTTGCAGAGGCTGGAGTGGAAGAACCCAAGTAGCTGCACAGAGCCCTGACCTCAACCCCACTAAATACATTTGGGATGAACTGGAACACTGACTGCACCCCAGGCCTTCTTGCCCAACGTCAGTGCCTGACTTTAATGCTGACATTAATGCTCTTGTGGCTGAATTAGCAAATCCTCAAGCATAAAAGGTATAGAATTTAGTATCTAATAGCACCTACCTAAAGTAACTTTAATATGGGAAATTTATCTCACATTTATCTCTCTTGACTGCTATGACAACACTTTTGCTTCTTGAGAGAAGCAAGTGCTTTCAGTCATTATTATAATGTTCCCAAGAAAATAGAGAGCTAGAGAGAGAGAATGTGTGTGTGTGTCTGTGTGTGTGTGCGTGAGAGAGAGAGAGAGACTTTGACTTTTACGGTGCCTTTAACGCACCATCTTTTATATGTATCGTATTTAAACATTTACAATGGTATATTTTATTTTGGTATATTTTATAATGTACAAATATATAAATTGAAATTTACACCATGTTTAACAGAAAGTCTGTTCAAGAGTCCAAACAGGGTGTTCAGATGAAGGCACTCTGCAAATACAGTCTGCTGCACAGTTTCAGGTTTACGACAGAAGGGACAGTCCACACCCATTCCCTGGACAAAGTGCGCCGTGTATTATGCACCATCGTAAGTCCCCAGTCCTCTATGGGATTGGTAGCTTATACAGCACCCTCCACTGAAAACCTGCTGTGCTTTGATCCTTTACCCATCTTTGCCCGGGTGCTCTCTTACCTCTGTCAATGCATTCAGATTCTTCACTTTTACACAGATACCATATAGTGTTTCCCCTCCCTCCATCAGAGTGTGTGTACCTGCAATTTATGTATTAAAAAATATGCATTTTGGCTGTAGACATTTTGTAGAGTTCAGTGTTGATTAAGGTTAGGCCTACAATAATATAGGCATGATGTAATGAAAGCTGAGATGCAAATACAGGTAAGGCAGAGTTTAATAAAGTTTGTGCAAACAATCCAAAAACGCAGAGCAAGAATAAAAAAAAACAGGAACAGGCAGAGATCAGGGGATCAACAGGATGTCAGAGAGTTAGGCAAAATGCACAAAACAAAGAACAAGTGTGTGCAAGTATATATGTGTGTGTGTGTGTGTGTGTGTGTGTGTGTGTGTGTGTGTGTGTGTGTGTGTGTGTGTGTGTGTGTGTGTGTGTGTGTGTGTGTGTGTGCGTGCGCTGTGGGAAATGGAGTCCGGGGCGGCCATCTTTAGAAGCCACGTGGCACCTCCAGGGTTGGGGGTTCAAATCCTGCCTCTGCCCTGTGTGCCCTGAGTTTGCATGTTCTCCCCATATTTCAGGAGTTTTCTCCCCCAGTCCAAAGATATGTGTTGTAGGCTGATTGGCATGCCAAAATCATCCGCAGTGGGTGTGTGTGTGTGATCGTGCCCTGCGATGGATTGGCACCCTGTCCCCCGCGACCCTGTGTGGTATGGAAAAGAATGGATGGCTGGACGTTGCTGGTGCATGAAGGCAAAAGACATGCATGTTTTTAACAGAGATGATCTGCTTTGAGTTCCTCTTAAATATCCTTACATGACGTTAATATGATGTTTGTTAACTCAAACAGTGTTACTGACATTACTACATAGATGTTGGCTTGAATTTGTCTGGGAAATACAGCAGCAGTAACAGTAGGTTAATTAAAATGTGAAAAAGGTATAACTGATTACATTTGACCCACACATGCTTGTATCCACTTTGTCACAATTTTGTTAAAATGATGGAGAATTGTATTATATAAGACGAAAAGGCCTTTCAAATGCATTAAACACTAGGTGATCTGTGGTGCTGAGGATGCCAATTCCATTTCTGTGGCATTCCACTCAAGTAGTGCTGGGGCACATTGAGGACAGAAGAAAACCAGAGATGCCATATCCAGAAAATTTTACTGGCCTTGGCATGTCTTCTGACAGACACATGGGTGATTATACATCTGCTCATTTTAATAACATTTACTACTCTATACTAAGACTATATACTCTTACCACATAGAAAGGGGGCAGAATAATGGTCTTAGAGCTGTGCCATAGAAGAGCCATTCTTAACTTCCTTAAGAACATTGGAATGGTGCTTTACACTGTGTTTTGTTTGTGCCACAGTGAACTGAAGAAATTGAAGTTTTCATAGCCTCTTTGTTAAAGTCAAGAAAGTCCATTTAATAAATAAAGTGTGTTCCATGCCAGGCCAGTAGAGTGACCATAAAGCAAGAGACTGAATGCACACCTACTGTGATATTCTTTCATGGATGAACTTTGATGAGAAATCCATGGATGAACTTTGATGTTGTCTTGAAAGCCTGCCAAACATGCTAAAAGAGTTAAATGATATAACATTTGGCACTGATGTTTATTTGGCATTGATTTTAAAATGTTAGAATATTTAACAATTAAATGTTAAAATGTGTAACTGTTAAGCAGCCTTGTTTGTGTTTTCGGAAATGCCATGAACCAGAGAGACAGCTGAGCTGAACTCCATGTGTTTCTTTTTGTGCATGTGTGTGACTGTGAGTGATAAAACACTGAAGAGTAAAAATAAAAGAAGAACAAAGCTTTATAAAAAGTCACCTGTCTCCCGAGCCCTCCTTCCCACCCACACGCACCAGGGTGCTACAGTAGTGCCGAAACCCGGGAGGAGGATTTGGATGGAACATCATGGAACTTTCTCCACTTGGCAAGGTCACTAAGTCCCTCACCAGCCTCTGCCAGACACATCATCAGGCTCTCCTCAACCTGCGGCATGAACAGCAGCAGCAGTTCAAAGCGATCAGGAGCAAAAAAAAATAAGTACATACACTTGAGTATATGCTGTTATAGGAAAATAGTCCATGATAGGGTGGTGTGGTGCCAACATTGATTATTTTCCTATAACAGCTTATCCTGAAGTGTTTAATTCCTCTTATACCACAGCAAATAAACAACAGTTACAAATTCTAATTTATTAAAGAACAACACTGTACTTTTTTAAATTATAGTTAATTTAATGTTGTGGAACGTCCACAAGACACATTTATACCTGTTATCACTTATGTTACAGCAGCTATAAACAGGCATTTATTCAATTCTTACTTGGCACGCTGTCACGTTTTGCATTCTTTTCTACTTTAACTGCAGATTATTTTATCAGCTATAACCGAAGTGAAAAGGAGAATCTTAGAGATATCTAAATGAATTTCAGAATTTCTTAGCATTTGGGTATGTCCTCCTTTGTTTTACCGAGTGTGTACTCGAGAAGTTTGTGTAAAATCTCACAGTCAATGAAGTTTAAGGGTCTTGCTCAAGGAGCAATCTTAAAAACTAGCTTAACTAGCTCTCATTGATTCAGTGCAGCATTTTAGTGGTAGATATAGCTGAGTCAAAAGGTGCGTGCTGTGGTGGCTCAGTGGTTAAGGCCTTGAGTTGCAGGTTAAAAGGTCTTGTGTTCAAAGCCCAGCATCAACAAAATAATGGTGGGGTCCTTGAGCAAGACCCTAAACCTTCAACTCAGTTGTATCCTACACCCAGGTTGCCAGTAAATTACTGTAAAATTTATGACCATTTTTTAGAGTGTAGAAATCTAGAATCCAGAATCTTGAATATGAATATTTTCTATATTTTAAGAAGGACACTGCCCCCAAGTGGCGGAGGCTGCACTTGCACACCTGACTGCTGCTCTCTTCTCTTAATTATCTGTCCTAACTAAAATGAATAAGCTTTGCATTCTCATTTGTGTCATTGGTAGTTCAGAAAAGAAATAAGTCCACCAATAATAAAATTCATACATACAACAACTAAATTAAAAGCAAAAATAAGGTTTTTTTTTTAGCACAACTTCATTTGTTTTTATTAGGAAGTGAATATGTGGAATATAATTAGGATCAATATTCATGGCAATTGGGTTTAAGTACAACATATGAAAATATTGTTTAATATGCATATAAGCTTAAAGCTTATTATACATATATTATATACAGTATGGCCTTTAACTCAAGAGCAGCAGAGCCAAGCAGGCAGGGAGACACATTCAGATTCTGTCACAACTGGCACCTGGTCCTCCAGCAAACAAAACCAAGTTTATACAGGTTTATAAACAGGAATGGAATTCTTGGTACCCTTTTAGAAATGGATTTTAAAAAAAGATTATTAAAAAATATATTTGAGTTTAATTAGCTCAGGTTCACACAGAAAATAGGAGCGAAATCTAACCATTAATTGGAGTAAATTTATTCCAAGGTAGTAAAAACCCCTTATCAAAATATCGAATTTTAACAAACCATGTGTGCAGCAATTGTTGTCATTCTTAGAAATTCTCATGAACTCTTCACCAGGGGTGCCAAAAACCCCATGTCTGTTACCACAGTGAGATTAATTACTGTTAGGATCTGAATGCAATAGGACTATCCTGTTTTTTGCTTTTCATTAATAAACTTTAGAGACCCTTGAAACAAATCAGCACTGATTGCTAAACATCATGTTAAATATTCTTCTTCGCCCCATACTGGTGTTCTGATGTCTATAGTGCACCTAATTTCACAAATTTCAAATATTTACTTCTTCCTTTCTGCTACCTATTTCCAGTAGCGGATGCTGTAGTGAAGTTTATTCATGTTGCACAATTCTGTACATTCTTTAGAAGAAGAAGTAGAACTTATTATAGCCCAGTGCTTCTTAACCCTGGCCCTTGTGTACCCTTTACAGTTTTCATTACTAAAAGCACTAAATGTTTTTTTACTGGTAAATTTTGTTATTTGGACTACAGCAATATTGGATTATTGGATTATTTTGATCTAAAGGTAGCCTTGGTGGAGTTTTGTATAAAGGCTAGATGTAATCATTTGTTTTAAATGAACATTTTCACATTATTGCAGTGTGCCTCACAATACATGCTCATAATCTATTCTGTGTTTTGAATGATATTTTCAGTGGGCAATAAAGTAACAATGGAAATCTAAAATATTGGGCAAGGGGCTTAGTTACTTTCTGCTTGCACTTGTTGGTTGAACCGGGGGTAGTAACACTAAAAAGCTCTTTTTTAAAAAAAAAGGATTGAAAATGCATTAGCAGTGACTTTTAGCAGGTGAACCAACTCTAAGGTAGCAGATCTGAATAAAACAGAAAGATTGGCTGATTTAGGATACAAGCTATATTAAATGATAATAATGTATACATGAAAAATGGTTAAATGTTTAGCAAGCTAGGGAACATAAGGTTAGTCCTTACACTATGTAATTCAAACCATTAGTTAAGTGTGTGATGGAAGGAGGCCTACATAGCAAGTGGGAATTGGCAATGATGAAATTGGGTGAAAATAATATACGTTTACATTTTCACCCAAATGTGCAAATAGCCACTGCCTAAAAAACAATATGATGTGCTATGGTCATTACAGTCCAGTTATGTCCCTCAAATGAGTGTAAAGGTGCACTAAATGTTGATGAAACTTACATCTAGCAATGCAAACAGAGATGTCATGTCATTATGGTTGGAAGGTGTTCAACAACATGATCAACCACTCTCTTCTTGGTTTCTCTAATGTAAAGCTGATGATGCTGTACACAAGAAGCTCCTGCAGGAAAAATAAGAAATAACTCCTGCTGTGAGGCATGAGGAATAATGAGTGACAAAAAAATGATCATCGTAACCATCATAGGGACGCATGCAGAAGTATCCTAATTTCATAGGCTGATCATTTAATTTACTTGTGACACGTGGTCTTTGGTGTTTTCCCAAAAGGAGATAAGAAGAGGCTCCTTAAAAACGAAAGCAGTCTGTGGATCCCCCTTGGATTGGGTGTTTTAAGTATAATTGCTAGCACTGTTTTATTGGTAGGATGATAAGTGAGTGGCAAAGGATTTCTCTCTGTCCTAGCGACGGATTGTGCATCTGTACTCTCAGTAGTGCTAATATGGGCCATGGCATCATCTATATACAGCTATAAAAATCCTCACACATTTCCTCAATTTTCTAGAGGAGTCATCATTCTCAATGCTAGTGCGATTAAGTTTCATTAGCTGTGAATAAGGAGTGGAATTTCTGCAGTGCTTGAGATGGGAAGAGTTGTTATGCAAGTAGGAATGAGAGTCTGTAGGAGTCTGTAGGATTAAATGGATTAAAACAAGTATTAATAATGTCAGCTCAAATACTGTAATAAAATTAAGATTAAGTGCTGTTCATCATGTGCAGCAAAAAGTCCAGTTACAAGAAAAAGCTCCAAAAGATGCCAATAAATAAATATGAAGGTACATATTTACATAATATGCCTAAATGTTAAATAGTCGAGCTATATTCCTTGAATAAATCTCTAATCTCCAGTCAACACACTGCTCTGATTTACCCTATGACTACAATACACATTTGTGTGTGTGTGTGTGTGTGTGTGTGTGTGTGTGTGTGTGTGTGTGTGTGTGTGTGTGTGTTTGTATATGTGTGGTCTTTAGTACACTTTACAAAAACGGCCTAAGCTTCACTAAAGGTGTAAAGGAAAAAAAGCCTGTCTGCTGTCTGTCTTTGGAAAGAACAGAAGCTCAGTATGGAATACGCAAATGACAGAGATGGAGCAAGTGATAGGCTTTCATGTGAGCTGCAGTCCATCAGCTGTGAGGGGAAGTAGCAAGCAGCGCCCATTTGTGAGATGACAAACAGCCTCTCTCTCTGTCTTGCTCTCTCTCACACAGACACACACACACACACACACACACACACACACACACACACACACAGTGGAGCTTGTTATATCAGTCTGTGAATCAGACACAGCAGGAGCCCACGATCATCATGGTAAGTGAAGCGTTCTCCTTTTTTCTGCTTTGTTTAGGAGCAGGTTCTCAGTGGTGGACTTTACAGCATCTGAATAAAGCTCAGTGAAATGTACAGCACAGTGGACTCGTACGTGTAGCAAAGAGACTGCATATTATGGTCCTCTTTTTTGTGTTGACCTAAATTATACGTAAATTTCCACGATGCCACTTTGCCACAAATGAAGTGTAGTTCTGTGTTACTGTGTGCGTTACAAAAATGCATATAGTGTGTTTTTACATTTGTTTATGTTACAGCCAAGTGTTCCCGATGTGACAAGTTGAAACTGGTTTGGAAGTTCTGGGGAGGGTTTTTTTTTGCAATATCAAACAGTATTGTGTAAGCTAGCAAAGTTTTTCTGCTTGCTTCATCAACAAGTGTTCCTCTTTGCTTTTAAAACTGTCTACTCATCTCACAGTTCTCCAGCTCTGTTCTCACATCCAGTGTATGCAACTAATCTGGCTGTGTTTTCATTTATACTAGCGCACTAGTTAGGTATTACTTCCACTGGGTTGATTGATTGTATTTGGATTATTTGGACACTGATCTTGCCAGAATGTTTCAGCAAAGTCCTCTTGGGTAAAATGTTAACATGGAAACATGGAAACAGTCTCAGGAGACACTGGAATGTCCCTTTCCTTATTTCCTTAAAATAATGTAGAAAGGTGCTGAATTTAAGTTGGTAGTACATTACCAAACTCGGTTAATGTTTTGGCTAAACATTAAGCAGCTGGATCTGAAATTCTCTATAATTATTTTCTATGAGTGGAAATTATTTTTATCTAATTGAAAAAGGCAGAGAGTGTTTTATATAAAGGCTTAACTGGTTTGCCCTCCAATCTGTTGCGCAATTCTCAAGATAATGTTTTATATATTTAAATTTTTCATTAAAACGTTCATAAATTCTACTTGAAAATTTTAAACCAATACAGTGGAAAAACACAAGATAAACAGGCCGCACTTCACTCAGGACTGAGCTCGTAGATCACTTCAGAGATATGGAATTGGTACAAGTTTAAAAAGTCAGATGAACAAATTTATGTAAAATATAATGCTGCGTTACATCCGAGGCCATTTTCATTTTTGATCTTGGCACATTTGACAGACGAAGTGTGAAAAGTGACACCCCGATGTTTGCATTTTTTTTTTAGCAACAAGCTAGGCAGCTAACTTAGATGAGTGATGTATATTTTCTTTCTCAAACAGTGAACTGTATAGTCAGTGTTTTAGACTGAACAAATAAATATGTCTGTATGTTGATCAATCTAAAGCTAATACTTGTATATACCGTATAGCTCATTTAAAGGTAAGAAGTTTTACTTTGTTTATTTCTGATGCTGTGTGCAGCCATGTTGAGTTGACATCACTCCGTAAACAGAGAAAGAACTCAAAGTTGAGAAGACTACCCCAAGCTGACTTCTAGTTGTGGTGGCATTTCATGTCATGAAAGATATGGTCCCCATTTACTCCGTCAAGAAAGAAGGGTTCACTAAGTTGTGCAGAAATAGTAACAGCGCCATCTACAGCAAGTAGTTTAAAACATTTTTTAAAAAATGTCCTTTATTTAAAAGAACGATGTGTTTGCACTGTTTGCTATAGATGGTGCTGTTACTATTTTTGCACATCTACATTTTCCAATGTCCATTCTAATAATCTTTAAAATTAAA